GATCAACAGTGCAGATATGACCGCAAGCTTTGCAAGTCTGATATATTTTTGATCCTTTTATTTTCTACGAGTTAAAAAATATTTTTGGTTATGATAAGATAAACGCTCATAAACAGAAGCAGGGCTACCAGCATTGTTTCAGGATTTTCGCATTCGGCGCAGAGAACAAACTTTTTGATGAATCCGTCCAAAATTTCCTGCAGTTTCTGGGCATCGTGCTCCCCGTTCACAATGTATCGATCGTTTTTCAAATCAAACTGCGTCTGAGCTCCAAGTTCGCAGCCAAAATATTTAGTGGGATCTAAACGAGGTCTATGATCAATCAACAGCAAAACTCTTTTTTTAAATACATGTTGGAGGCCGGTGAAGTGCCTTGGCGATTTCGGTCATATTAGCGATCACTGTTTTAATTCCATTGCCTTTCCCTTCCACCTAAGAAAAAAATTTCAGAAATTAGTATGTAAATTAGAATTTATACTGACGCTTTTCATTTTCGACATTTAAACAAACTAATTGTCATTTACCTTCGCTACCAGTCTGGGCATTTTGTATCTATAGAAGACATCGTCAACGCTTCGATTAACGTTGACCGACATGGCTGCTTAATTTTCTTTTGAACAGGTGAAATTCGATAGGCAAAAGTCAATCCCGGTCTTGAAGACAGTTTTTCTTCAGCGCCTTCGAAATTTCGTTTTAGATCACCAATCAGGCATGAACACCACTGTTCAGATCTTTGGAATTCAACCAAACGGGACGAACACTCACTACGGATGCCAGGTTGAATGAATGTGGAAAGCGCCTTGCGTTTCCTTCGCTGAGATATTCCTATAAAGGCGATTAAATAATTGTCTGTCACTCCATGAACATATACGTGTAAAATATCGTTATTCGGGGTAAGAGTTTGCTACTAGTGTCTCTGTCCCTCATTACTACAGCTCCCGATATCCTCAAAGGATTCTAAGAATTTCACGGCTACTGAATAATAACGCAACTAAATTAAACGAAAAAGATGAAACACTGGTTTGTATACCACGTTAAGCTACAAGTGTTACGCGTAACATCTTTTACAACATCTTCTAGAGAACAACCTCCAGATAACCAACAACGTTCAGACAACTGATCTTTAAATTTTGACAAGGTTTAAGCACTAAAGATAGTATACCTGTTAAACAATTGAATCAAAATGCGAATTCAATGGGGGTAACAGCAGATCAGAAAAATGTTACAACATGAAGCAGCTATTTGAAATTCAACAGCCAATAGTTCAGTATTACACCGACTAAAAAATACGAGTTTACGTCAGATTTAAAAATTTACGGCCAACGAAACATTTTAAGGTTTGGCCCTCCAGGGAGCGTTTATACGCTTTTCTCACAGCGATTAAATGGGAGACAAGCTATAGCGACAAGTATATTTTTCAGCACCGTTTACATGCTTTAACAACAGAGAAATATATTCATCCACAAACCTTTCTCTTTTTGTTGAAAAGTCATACAACCTTCTGGTTGTGACAAGTAAGTTGATTTCATGCAACTTAGTTGAAAACCCGAAGCCGGTGAGGTTTCTGGATCGACACCGGAACGACAACTTTCGTACCGGACAAATCGTGAAAGAAAGCTCCTGAAACAAGAGAAAAGTCAACGAAATAATCGACAACAAAACAAATAGCATACCACTCGACAGCCACCGTACGCTTAAATGAATTATGCAACGAATTCGTCACGAAATATGTTTACCTGACAATCAAAGTTGACTATTTTTAATAAATAAATAGGCAACATGAATTGCTTTCTTTGACAAGAAAGTTGCAGGAAAACCAAGCGATAAATTTAAATTAAAGTGCATTCATGTTCAATTTAATAGATACGCATTTAGTCTTACTCCTACGTTGCATTATTTGAATTGACGAGATTGCAACAATTATCAATTTAGAGCAAGTTTTGCAACACTCAAACACTCTCAAACTCAGTTATGATGATAATACACTATCCACTGGCATGCCATACCCCATGAAATTGCCTTCGTTGATAACGAATACTGATTGATACGATGTTCCTTGCACTGAGCAGAATCTAAATCCGTTGTTTGCCATGGTTCTTCAGTGGTGCGTTTAATTGACATGACAAAAATCGTTCATTACAATACACCGTGAGCACTAATAGTGTAATAGTACCATTTCCTTTTCAGAGTACGAAAATTTCATTTTTACCCGTGTTGTTATTTGCCACTTTTTCTCGAAAATGGTTTTCTTTCACCTGTTAACTTCCTGTTTACTGTTTTTTTCCACTGAACGACATTGCTTTTGACGGATCTGTGCTGGGGTACAACTGAATCTTTCTCTTCTACGATATGTAAGTTGTGATAACCGATTTTGCTACGCTTTTGTTAATCTGTTATCGAATCTTTGTTGTTACTGAAAAAAAGTTTAATGCAAGTTTTCGCGACTCTCCGCTACAATGCATAGAAGCAACAGGAAGTTGTGAAATCAAAAATTTTAAGGTAATTTTACTTTAAGGAAAAAATTTTATGTGTACTGACCAAAGAAATCAGTTTATGCAGAGAATTTTTATTTGCCCCTGTGCATTCTTCAGCTAAAGCCATTTACTTCACTTGTTTAATTCCAGCATAATTATTGCATTCCGGTTATTGGGGCAGCACAATCTCAGGAGGTCATCATGTGGCCACAGATGCTCGCCAAGCGCGGGTCGTAAGAGTTCTGAGGAGTAATTTACCAAAGACGAAAATTCCACATCTTCATTGTAATTGAACGTCAGCTTTTAAATCTGTATCTAAGTCATTTCTGGAAAATTTTGTCAGAAGAATCTGTTGAATGATCTTCACTGATGAAAAAATAACTTTGATTTACGGGGACTATTGGTAGTCATCATTCCCTTTGTATTAATCTACAGTACGCCTCATAATATGTTATAGGGTTTTTCTGTACCTACTTGATCTGCTGTTTGGAGGTTCTACAGACTGCTACGCCCAATACAAAGTCTGGCCGGTTTGTCGATGCCATCGATCATTCAATTCCTTTGAATTGTCTTGACTAATCTTTTATTTAAAGAAGTTTATGGCAGACGAAATAATGCTATCGACAAAAGTAAGTAAAAGCATCATGATTATTTAATAATTGCCAATCGCCGCTTGCCACTGAATGTACTTGTCAGCTGGTTTGTTGTAATTGCAGGTTTTCGGAACCCGGAGCCAAAAGTCTGTTTTTTCTCGAAAATGGGCTTGTTTATTCGCCAGTGGTAATGCCCACACAAGTGTCTTTGAGATTTGTACTTCATGCTGGAAGTCACACTTGTTAGACAGCCATCAGATGGGTCAACGATCAGCTTATACACCTGAGAACATGACATTAATTTTCGCCATTATCACGTGGCCAACCGGAACACAACACTGTTCAACGACTTGCTCTGTGTTTCAGGCCGACTGAATCGAAACAACCTCGGATGAGTTCTTTTCGGAAGGGAATTCGTTATTGTGGGAATTTTGTCGTAATTGTAGCTGTATCCCGCTTAGTTTGTAGCTGACTTTTTATCAGTGTGCCACTCTCAAGTTTGCCTCGTGGTTTCTACTGCTATCATCGAAGATCATAGCTATTGTCTCGCATCTGTGAGAGCTACATGATTCTTATGTAGGTTTGACGCTACTTCATCACTTAACACATGAATCACCTAATAGACAGTGTAATACAGGAGGTTGTGGATAGGATCGCAATAAATTATTTACATAGTTTCCAAAGGAAGTATTTTTTGGCCACATGAATGACGATATGAATTTTAGCCAGAAAAAGGTGTTGTCTACTGATGAGAAAGTAAGCTAAAAGTAGCGTCTCGAGGATTGTTTGTGTATGTTGTTTTGCCTCAAATCTAAAAATGGGCTAAAACAGTCGAAAGTCGTTTATCAGACAAGGTGTTCTTCTAAGTGTAACAAGTTTCAGAAGCAGAATAAAATATCTTCAGCAATGAAAACAGGGGGAATAAAGATCGTTTCAGGGATGAAGTTTATAGATCCGTTGATTTTTGGCTTGAATTGAAACAAAATCCTCTGCTGAAGCAACATCTATTAATTGATTCTTACCAAGCGAAGTGAAATGATATTTTATGGCGTATTGTACTGTTCACTTGCTCCTAGTTGCCAGGGGGTTACATATAAGCAGGCCACGACTCTTTGATATTTGAGAATTCGAATGCCAGGGGTACCTTCCATCGTTCACTAGATTCACCTCTTGCTCATTCCTTATGATATTTCAAGAATTGGTACCCCGTATATGCTATCGCATTAACATCATAAAATATTCGTGTGCCGCAATATGTCAAGCAACGAATCACTCATCGAAGACTAGATTTCTCGGTATATTACACCTTCTCCTTATTGTGATATGAAATGCGTTTGGCATTGCAGGTTCTGAAATACTTTGGAGCTGTATCTTGCTTTAATGTCCCCTTATGCAACGGTTTATAAACTTTCCTTCCTTAAATTTTCTTTTTGTGAGTTTCAGTTTCGCTGCAAAAATCCTACACGCACTTCTTAGCCATTATCGTATAGTGGATGTTTCTGATACCCACTTATTATACTATCATATGTTACCTGTTTCACAGCATTCACCAACAGGTCAGTAAATACAAGCCTAGGATGCCTGAATAGTCAATCATAGCGACCATCTGAGGACCTTAAAGTCACCAACCAGAATCTTCGGGAAAATGATGGAAAATGCATAGCTGAGTATTGCCGGCGGATAATGCCAGAATAAACTGCGACAGCGTATTTTACATATGTGCAGGTTTTCGAAGCTTTACAGTACAGAAAAAATTCATGCAGCTGCTGCAAGTTTTGAGAATAATCTGTTGGTGCGACGCATAATGAGGATCAGATGTAATGCCCAGATGCAATATATGGTTATCGATGGAGCTTGCCGTATCATATATGATAAGAGAAATTACCCCTTTCCCCCTCCTCCGCCAAACCCCTCTTTCGGAAAGTTCTACTGCCATAATCATGGTCCACGAGGAACAGCACGACCAGAAAAAAACTGATTATTTCAGATCAGAGTCACGTCTTTCCATAGAGGACGGTAGGAATTGATTAGTGTTTTGTAAGTAATGATTCAAAAGAAGCTAGTACTGATTATCGGTTGTTGTATTATTGCAAGTGTTCTTCAGTAGATTGCCTAGTTAAATTTAGTTATATGCATAGTTTCATTTTTACGCTGTTTTAGCATACCCCTGAAATTTAACGTTCTTTGTCGTATTTAGAATATATGTTTCATAAAGTATTAAGTAATGGCGAACGAGAATGTTTCGAATTTGATCAATCTGTCCGACGAAGGAAGCAGCCCTGGTGAACCCTGTGACGTCACTCTAGAAAATTTTGCGGTAAACAAAGAGCGTTTTTTAAATAATTAATTAACTGACTTTTGTAGGAGTGCGGTTCATCGTCAAATAGCAGCGAAGGAGATTCGCTTACAGGCAAAGAGTTCTACGTAACAGCCTCCGAGGCTCTGCTGGACCTGAGCCAGAACTCCTTCGATTTTCTGCAGACCGCTGGCTCAAATGCTCATCATAGGAGTGAAAGTAACGACTTCGGTCGTTTGTCACTTTTCAAAAAGTTCGACCCACTTATTGCTTCGAAAACTGGTCAGACATGTGACGAACAGTAAGCGTTGAGAAGTTAAAAAACAGTCTCGTGTACAGTGATTAACGGTCGGGCTATTAGAGACTTAATCGCGATTATCATAGGGGTTAAAATGAACAAGAAAGGTCACACACACCAGGAGATATGATAGCAGATACGTTCCTTGAAAATGCATATATTATGGGCTGCAACCATATGATGCTTTTGTATGCTGATCAGATAGGTTTTCATGTAGTATATGTATGCCTATCATAATCATCAGGAAATGTGCATCATTTGTCGTATTACCGTTGTTTTCTTTGGGTGAATTCCACATCCAGTAGCGAAGCACATGTTTCGTGCACAAAAGTTTTTGCGGCTGCCCATAATAAAGAGGATGTTGGAAATGCTTCTTCTTAACATGACGTAATTTTTAGATTCAAGGTCATACTCTTTACTGCATTTTACAAAATAAAGAAAAAAGAAAAAATCTGTGACTATTCGAATGTTGGTTTATTACGTTAATGATGAGTGATTTCTGGTGATCTTCTATACATAAGATGAATGACAGGACTATGATCTCCGTTTCTCTGTCATCAATCTGGAGTATTTTATTTTTAAGGTAAAGTCAATAGCAACTACTTGAAAAGCATAATGTGTAGTCTCTTGTTTGCTTCCTACAGAGTGGTGCTCATTTATTAAACTTGAAAGGAAGAAAGACGAGAAACCCGACCGAGGCTCGAGTCCAGACCCTCTCCGTTCTGAGTCAATCGTTCTACCAGCCGAACAGCCCCGGTTGTAGTGGTCAAGGAGCTTTCTAGATGTTTTTAATGGTCTTTCTATGTGCTTTGCTTCATAGCTGACCTCTTATTCGGCGTTAAGTACAAAAGTGACATCCACAAAAAATTAGCGTAAAATTTCCAGACATGCTTCGCCAGCTTTTGGTCCCCATGATTTAACGAAAATCGTTGGCCAAAGTTTTGACGAGGCTTATTGAAGGTTAATTGTCGTAGCAGATGATGAGAGGAGTCGAAGGATAGGGGTGGTTAGATAGACGTCCAGAAGGTATTTCTGCTTCAAGAACAAACCACGCATTTTCAGTATTGCATGCTGCCAAGCAGAAATGGATCATATTCTTATTATAATTACTACAGCCTCACTGCTACTGCTATTATTAATTTCACAAGAAGTACTGCGATTCCGCTGTGCGAGATGGTATCGCTAAGTTTAAGATATTTTGATATTATTATCTGGCAGTCGAATGCTATCGCAGTTCTTTCTTCAGGAGGCTTAATACTTATGCTTTTTACAATAATAAACACGTAATATTCTATGAAATCTTCTTGTCCAAATTTTGTGTTCTGGGTAACTTTTATCTCGTCGTGTTTAACGTACTTAATGGATCAAGAAACCAGTTAGCCAATATTAATCAACCATAAGATATTGCTGTTGCGGCATCTGCAGAAATATGCTGTAATGCAGTTCATCAGGGACGTTAACGTGGTAGTTTCTTTTTCCAAAGTTCTTCGAATGCCCCAAACATGGGTAGATGTCTCTTGTGACAAAATTTTTCATTTTGCTTAAAGCAGCCTCAGGCCATGGCAGTTTGCTGTAGTGATGCTGTCCGATCCTTTTGTTGTTACCTAAAAGACCAAAAGCTTTCATGGTCTTCTTCTTCTTCATCTTCATCTTCCATCGCCGCTTCTCCTTTCGGGTCACGGAGGCAGACGCGTCAGACAGTGCTTC